TAACCACATTACTAAATTTTGATCCCTGAAATCTTTGGTAATACCAATGTTCACTTTGTCTGGCTTTGTTGCAGCATACCCCAAATAAGGCTTATTTACTTTAATAAGATAATAATAATTTATACTTATAATATTACTGCTAATAATATAGCTACTAGTACTATAACCTAAGAAAATGTCAAAATTATTACTATTTATTAGTATCATTACTATATAAAAGGACTATGAAGGAAATTATTTTATCATTAATTAATGTTATTAATATTGATGTTGGAGAAATTTTTTTGGTCCGATATTTTTTGAAGATTTTCGATAAAATTTTCCCAAACCAGGTTTACACATTGTGATAGCTGTAATTCCAAAATCAAAAGCTATAATACCATTCATAACTAAGCTGTAATGTCATAATGTCATAATTAGGTCGTGATGTCATAATTGGTCATAATGCAAATATATTTTTAACTTACCTACAAGCCTACTGCGAGATGGCTTTTTGGTCAATGTTGATTATTTACATTTATGTCCAAGGTCGAATTAACTTTTGAGCCACACTCTTAGTTGTTCGTCAATAGCATTCAGTTTCAAAGAGGCAGTTAGGATAAATTCGTAAAAACAAATTTAAAAATAATTTACTTGAAGTGTAACGTGATCTGTAGGGTCGTGTTGGCCCTGCTCGGACCCAAAGACAGACTGGTTGAAGATTGTTTACTAACTCAATGGTATTTTGATGAGAGTTATATATTGCAAAGGTATTTTTTTACCTAATCTCGATTATTTTCGTTTTATAGCTGAGTTCGAGTTAATATTAACTTAGCTACACTCGTCGATTAATTGCAAGCTTTTATGCATAATTCTTGCTCGTCAATTAATTTATTATACGAGCATCATTACGTTCAGCTTCTGCTTTTCTAATTTCTGCTTCTATCTCAATAATATCCCTTTGATGGATTTACCCCTCTTTCTTGTACCTAGAGAGCTTTGGCGAATTTGTAAGCAACTTTATGGTACAAATAACAACAAATTTAATTATTTTTGTTCTTACAAATTATTAATAAATATATATAAGAAATAAAAATACGAATATAGAGCTAGATCACATGTCTAACATACGATTGGACGGTACTTCGGTAAATCCGTTTAAGAGAGATCCGCTGGTCCTATAACAATAAGGACTGGTCCTGAAGGATCGTGGCCCAAAGGACATGATCCGTGAAATCATTTGTAGTACAAATAAATGTTTACTTTGCCAAATAATTAATATAACCACACTGAGGGAATTTCTTCTACAGGATACCTATCCTGCAATTTTTTATTGGTCCTGTATATTCGATCCCTCCAAAAACGGACAAGAAAACAAATTACAATTATAACTAGTTTCTTTCTTACGCTAATTATAGAATTAAAGGCTATGACCTTTCTCTACAAGTCCTAAGCCTCAAGTACTATTTTAACGCGCCTATATTACACATTAATTCTAAACTGATCGCTTTGTCATATGAATTCGTTTAAATGGTTTAAATGGTTACGTGTAAAGAAATTTTATCGTCATTACATTTTTGAACTCGCAATTTTTGTAATTGGCGCAGTGGCGCAGAAATGTTTGTATAAAACAAAAAATAATTAAAAAAGGCAGGTAGCGAAATTGTTTTCAAGAATCAATCTACGTCGCACTTAGATTATAGATTTGATTCTTTTGCTTCTGATTAGATTATAAAACTATGGAGAAGGTGTGTGCGAAAAATTCCTTTTTATTGGCTAATATAGAATTCGCAATTCACACAAACCCTATTATTATTATTATTATTATTATTTATTATTTGTGTTGATTGAAACCAACTCCTCTTTAAGAAACTTTAGGAATGCATCAAAACAATACTAACTAAAATCACTTTCTATTTACTGTATAATCATGCAACCCGATTTTTTTTAATTATTTATTATAAATTATAAATCATCAAACAATGTGGCAGCAATCGAAAAATTTTTATTAAAAAATTTTTTTTTTGAAAAAAATAATTTTTCGGTAAATAATTTTTTTTGATTGATATATAATTCAAAGAAATTATGAATCCTTCACAAATCAAAGACTTTGGTAGCATCAATCATTCAGAAAATAATAATAATGACCATTCAAAAGAACCATCTATTAATAATCAATTTGAAGGACATGAAGAGTATGATTGTTCAGAAATGGGAGAGGGAACACCTTTGTTAAAACAAAGATATGTCTCTCGATCACCAAGTTCAATATCATCATTATCATCGTTAGCATTAGATAATTCTGTAGTAAAAAAAAAGCCGCAGCAGCAACAATTACAACAACAACAACAATCTTTGCATAAACAATATTCATCGAACAATCTAAGGAATATACAAGAATCTGTTTTAGATATGAGTAATAATAACAATTTAGATTCAAATTTTGAGATAAATTTGTACGGAGAAACCGACTCAGATAATGGTACTTCAAATGCATTCTCTTCCCCAATACCACAACATCAACGTCAACTCAAAGCACAAAACGATGTATGTTTTCCTTTAATTGAATCTGCATTTAAACGAGGTATAGGGATTGATTATGAGGCTCTTGAGAAATATGTGAAGGATGAGAATGAGAAACATCAACAAGAGCAAAGGCATCAACGAAGAAGATTGAGTGAATCAGAATCCGTTGTTGTTAAAAAAAATGCAATAAATGAAAGGTTCAATCGTTGTCATAACTTTAAAGATAATAAGGTTTAGTGAAATTTTTTTTTTAACTATATAATTATTAATTCATTGTTTAACAAAACAACCATTAAAAAAATAATATTGTTCTTGTCCTATTGTATTAGTATAATTCAGAAATATTATATCGATTTACATTTTATTCTACAGCACACAGTACTGTACATGCACATACACTTGCAGAAATACCACCATTGGATTTATCATTATCAGAAATGCTGAAAAATGGATGTTGGTGGATTGATATCCTATCACCAACAGATGATGAAATGATGGAATTTGGTAGGGTAAGCGTAATGTTATCAATATTAAGAAAAGCAATTAAATAACTATAAATGACACTTTGAAATTTACTTTTATTTTATTTTCTTTAAAAAGATATTTGGTATACATCCTTTGACCATTGAAGATATAGAAACTGAAGAAACACGTGAAAAATGTGAAAAATTTAATGATTATTATTTTATTTGTTTCCGATCTTTTGATCAAAATCATTATTCTCCAACATATTTACAACCAGTAAACCTTTATATGATTGTGATGAAAGAAGGAATTTTATCGGTATATACCTTTTATCTATAATAAATATTTTTATTATTATGGACATTTAAAGTTTTAAAAAATACCTTTTTTGGGCAATAATAATAAATAGTTTCATTTTCGCCCAACACCGCATCCAGCGAATGTTAGACGTAGAATAGGACAATTAAAAGATTATATAACTGTCACACCTGGTAATTTATTTTTAAATCATTAAAAAAAATAATTTATTCATAACGATCCTAATTATATTAATCTTGATCATTTTGTAGATTGGATAAATTATGCAATAATTGACGATGTAACGGACTCATTTGCACCACTTATTCGATCAATTGAATTTGAGGTAGATTCTATTGATGAACTGGTGTTGATACTTAAAGAATCTGAACAGACTGATATGTTACGTAGAATAGGACATTGTCGTAAAAAGGTGCTGGGATTATTAAGATTGTTAGGAAGTAAAGCAGATGTTATGAAAGCATTAATAAAAAGATGTTATGAATTAAGGTGGGATGTGGTTATAGGTAATGAGATTATATTATACTTGGGAGATATTCAAGGTACCTATCTATTGTGGATTATGTTTTGTTTGTGTTTGTGTTTGTGTTTGTGTTTGTGTTTATATTTATTGCAATATTTATGATTTACATGGTTTTTTTTTAGATCACATTATTACAATGGTTCAGAATTTGAACCATTATGAAAAAATACTTTCTAGGTCACATTCAAACTATTTGGCACAAATTTCAATTGAGATGACACAAGCTAATAATCAGATTAATGATATATTGTCTAGACTTACAGCATTAGGAACTATTTTAATTCCTATGAATCTTGTAACAGGTAACGCCTAATAAAATCATTTTTCATTTTCCACAATATGTTACTGTTGCTGTTGTTGTTTATATAATATTGGTTTTTACAATAAATAGGTTTATGGGGAATGAATGTTCCGGTCCCAGGACAAGAATCCGAAGGTTTGAGATGGTTTATTACTATATTGGCAGGAATAATTCTGTTTTCTATATCAGGAGTTATAATGGCTCACAGGACCGGAATTGTCTGACATTAATCAACTAATTAATAATAAATGTAATGTTATTATTTTTTTCTCTTTGTATTTAAAAAATTTTCTTTGAAAATGTTTCCAAAGATTATTGTTGATCTATTATGTTCTTCCTGATGAACATTTATTTATTCCAATATACCCAAGATCATATATGTGTATTTGCAATTTTATGTTCTATTTTATCTATCAAGACTTTATTTAAGACTTTGTTGTTTATTTAAATTATTTAAGGAATTAAAAAAAAAAGCAATTAAAAACCAGAGAATAAATTATTATCTATTATTACATATTAATTTTTTTGGATATTCCTAAAATATGTTGTACAAAATTATATTAAAGATTAAAAAAAATCATCCAAGTTTTGTAAGTTCTTGTAAATATGCACGTGGATTTAATATCTGTGTTGAACCATAAATAATTTTCTTCTTGTTAGCTTGTCTCTAATAAAATTACAGAAAAATTTGATTAGAAAATTTAAAAATTTTTTATTATATTAATTAGATATTTTGAATAATAATAAACACCTTTGCGTATTCTTGTAAATTTTGATATTCAATATAATTTCCACCACCAACAACAAAAACAATTCCTTCCT